GGCATTCGCTGCCCCCCTTCCAGAAAGAGTCTTCCTGTTCACCTGCCTCCTCAGAGACCACACAGCTCGCCTCAGTGGGGGTGTCGTCCACATCCCTGTTGTCTGTGCTTCCCTGTGGGCAAGGGCCTGCCTTTCCGTCTCCGTTGCTTGGGCAGGGGCAGTGGTGTGCTGGCAGCGGGCTCTCGGGTGAGCAGCGTCGGCCGAGCTCTGTGTGTAAATCTCCCCACAGGGCCGGTTTCTTAACAGTCTCGCAGAGGGGACTGGTCCACGCTGGCTTCAGCCCCCAGGCATTCGGCAGGTGCTCCGTAAGTGATGGTTGAACAAGGAGGAAAGGCCCTGGGGACTGCCGGTCACATAGACTTGGGGAGCTGCCACGTGGTCTGTGGCTGAGGGGGGCTTGCAGGGAGGTGCGTTGGACAGGCTGAGGGTGGGGCCAGAGACCACCAGGGTTAAGTACCCACAGGGGCTGGAGGGCTGGTATCCTCCTTTCCCAGGGCCCTCCACACCTGCGACCCTGCCTCACTCCAGGGCAGTGGTCTGGCCTTGGGGTTCTGCACAGAATGGCCCAGGTGGACGCCAGACTTTAGCCTAACAGAGCTCTGAGATGTGGCCCAAACAGGTCCCAAAGCCCAAATTCTATTCCTTTGCTTGTGCTGTTCCCTCTACTTGAATGTCTGTTCCTCCTCCCTCTGTCCCCTGAAACTCTGTCACCCATCGAAAGCCTCCTCATGTGTGTCCTGCTCCATGATCCCAGCCCTCTATCCCAATTCACGCAGACCCTTTCCCCCTTCTGCTGTCACCCCAGGCTTACAGCCCCTCACAGGTGCATGCTGCCTGCCCACAAAAGTATTACTAGCCGACATTTATTGTGTCTGTAAGTAACCCACAACAGAGGTGCGGTGTGAATCCCCTTTGCAGATGGGGAAGTTGAGGCACGGTGTCTCGTTAGCGCCGAGCCATCCTTTACATCTTAGCTGGAGCAGGGAAGCCCCAGTGAGTCCTGGCCGCCTTGCCGTGGGCCCGCAGAGCAGCACAGCTGTTTCTTTAGCGTGTTTGTTGTCACACGTCCCTGCCAGACTGCGAGCTCCACAACCACGGGAGCGCAAGTGAACGAACAAATGGATGACAGAGTGAGTGGTTCTCAGCCCAGGGGGTTCCTCCCCCTCCTCCATCCCTGGTGGATGAGATTACCCTCCGGAGGGCAGCCTCGATCCGGCAGGATGTCACAGGGACCCTGCTTGTCCCCATCTCCCAGAAGGGGAAAGCGAGGCTTCAGCAGCTGGAAGCCGGCCTGGTGGAGGGTGGTGGTCCGCCCTCCCGTGGCCTAGAACGGGGCCGACAGTGGGTCCAAGGCCTTGCCCATGATCAGGGAAGTTAGCAGGGTCCCAGATACGTTTCCATGTACTGCCTGAAGTGGAAATTCCCCCGTTGGCTCACTTATTTCCATCTTTTCTATAAAAATAAAATTGGAACAATAGAAATCATTCACACACCTAATTACTCCCTTGTTTGAGAAAATTTCTGGCTTATTTGGCTCAAGACTTTGGTTCCCACTGGAGTGGGAATCCCTGGGGAGGGGGCAGGGTGAGAGCCGGGACAGGAGGTCAGGGCCTGTGCTGACACGGGGCCCTCCTGACGGCCTGGCCTCCGGCTGCCCTCTCCAGGCAGGCTGGGAACTTCCCAGAAGGAGCAGCCCAGACAGGGGTCTGTCTGAGTGCGGGGGACGGCCAGAGGCGGTCTCCCGGGTTCTGGTTGACAGCGACCTGGGGTGGATGACTTTCTGGGTTGTTCCTCCCACCTCAGCCTCCCCAACCTCCACCTCTAGCGCCTGTCATAATAATTTGCAGCTCTTTAACCAGCACTTACTATGTGCTGGGAGCTCGGCCAAGCACTTGGTCTGTGTTCTCTCAGTACCGCCACCTGACCTCCCTCCAGGTAGGTACTAGTGTCCCCATTTGGCAGTTTGAGGGTGCCTGGGCCCCGGGGCTCAGGGCTGGGTTGTGTCCAGCCTGTAGGACCCCAGAACCTGACAGGCTGCCTGTCTGGGCTCCCTTGGTCACCCAGAGGGGACCGACTGTTCTCTGAGACTTGGACGCCCGAGACAGCAGCCTCACCCTTGTCCGACGCCCAGGCCACTGTCCTGGTGCTCACCTTTCCTTCCTGCAGCCCTGGGCCCCGCCTCTGCAAGCCCCGCACAGCCTCACCTGGCGGCTGGGGGACAGTACATGTTTCCGGGCCTGCCCTGCCCTGCTGAGTCAGAATCCCCCACCAAGGGAGGGAGGGCTGGAAACCCTGTTTTAAAAATGCTGCCCGGCCCCGTGGAGTCTGGGCTGCCTTACGAGACTGCTGCCCCCGGGCCCCGGATCCCTGGCCCCCAGCCCCACCTGTGTCCTTGGCCTCTGCTCCCTGCTCGCCAGCTTTGCCACACCATGCTGCCCCCACCGGCACCCCACTGTTTTTATCCTGTACCCGCTGCTGCTGCCGCCGCCTCAGAGGACAGGTCCTGGCTGGCCGTGGACAGATCCCTCATGGCTGCCCTCCTCTTGTTACCGGGGGCCTGGCACACAGTCTGGGTGAATGATGGTGGCTGGAGAAGGGGGACAGGGATTGCTACCGGTGACGGGAGGGGCTGGGTTCCCTGGCTGGGCGCATGGGCACACGCTGCGGGCTGGCCCCGTGCCTGACATGGAGAAGGCATTTGGAAAGTATTCCTTAAATATTTGTTGAATGGTGATTGTGAGAGTGGAGGGTGAAGGCCACTTCCAGAAACATCGCAGACTGCTGGTGTGGGTGAAAGATTGAGAAGGCGCCTTTCCGACCGTCGCCCAGGCTATTGGACTCGTTTATGGCATGAATGGGAGCGAGATGCTGCTGTTTTCTCGCGTGCTTTCATTTCAGCATCCTGGGTGCTCCGGGCAGTGGTGCCAAAGTCATCCTCTTTCACTGTATGGAAACTGAGTGGCGGGCAGGGGAGGTGACTCTCTGAGGTCACACAGCCAGGAGGTGGTTCCGTGGTACAGAGCCTGCCCTGTGGGTGGCATCTGCAGTTTACAAAGGCTTCCACACACATGGTCTCATTTGGTTCTCACAGTGATGGGGATTTGGCTCGACTTTCTCACCTGTGCCCGCATCCTGGGGTCCGAGAACCTGCCACCCCGTGCTCTGCGTCTGTGAGGGGCGGGCGGTGGAGGAGGGCCCTCTGCCCGGGCTGATGGGAGAGAGGAAGGAGGCGGTGGGGGGAGGTGCGCTGGCGCACAGGGGGTGTCTGGAGCCTGCTTGGTCAGGGCGGCAGAGCCGGGCGTGACTGCGGCTCCGGGGCCAGGTGGGCACACGGTTTGGCCCTGTCTAGTCCTGGGAAGAGCCCAGGACGGTCTTGGGTCTTTGGGCGAAGCCGCACAGAGCGTGGGTGACTGGTCCAAGGTCACGCTCGGCACGCCCAAGGTGAGGAGCCGTGAGCGAGGCTCCGCCATGCCTGGATGGTCGAGGGAGCCCGGCGGTGGGTTTCGGCTGTGCAGAATGACCACCGTCAGAGTCCCTGAACCGTGGGGGGACCCAGGCAAACCTCCTCCCAGGGGTGTCCAGGGATCGGGTCTCCTCAGGCTGGTCTGGGGCCTGACATGTCACTGCTGTCAGAGATGTTTGGGGCCACAGGTGAGCAAGTGTGGTGGCCCTGCCTCTGCCCCTGAGGGGAATGTGACAGAAACCGTGGTCCCTGCCTCCAGGCACTGGCCCCGTGAGGAGGGGACAATGCTCCAGCACCCCCACCCAGACTAGGAATCCAGGTGCTGGCTTCCCCGAAGGCCTTTGCAGGTGCTGTCCCTCTGTCCGGAATGCCCTTCCCCGTCCTTCCTGCCTCATCCTTTGAGATGCCTCCAGGAGGCCATGGCTGACCCCTATCCCGAGGGCAAGGCTGATCCTCATCCCAGTAGATTTCTGTCTCTCCGCCCCCGGGGGCAGTGGGAGCCTTGCAGGCAGGGCAGGTCTGTCCAGGCCCTGATTAGAAGGCAGGGCCTGAAGGCCTGGTGAGGCGTGCCGTGGGAGTGAACAGATGGCTAGATTAGGCTAGGTTAGGAGGACTCCGGTGGAGGTCACTGGGGCGGTGGTGAGGCTTGCTCTGCCGTCCCTCATGTCTAGATGGCAAAGAGGAGGGGATTATGGGAAAGACCAAGGGACCTCCTGGTGTGGCTCTGGGAAGCAACTGTAAGGTGCAGCCCAGCCCAGGTGACTGTCCCCTCAGCCCAGAGAGGGGCCAGGCTGGGAGCCTTGACACCATGTGGCCAGCTGAACCTGGCCATTTCACAGAACATTGAGGCCTGGAGCACTTGGGATTGACCCAGAGCACCACGGAGAGCGGCCGAGGGTCCCCTTTGTGGTGTGCAGGAGGAGAGCCCAGGGCTGTGGGGCCACACCGCCACACTCCTGTCCGGAGCTGGAGCATTTCTCTCTGGGATGCGGTCAGGTCTGGAGTGGCTGGGAAGGAGCCAAGGAGCGCAGTCCTCAGGGCTCAGGTCTGCGCTCTAGAACATAGGTGTTGCCCAAAAGCTGGCGGAAAATTCATGTCATTGGCCCATTCCAGCAAAAAGGTGTGCAGGAAAATGTCCATGAGAACTTAGGCTAAAGAGTTCAACCCTGGGGGGCCGGCCTGGTGGCACAGTCGTTAAGTTCATGCACCCTGCATCAGCAGCCCAGGGTTTGCCGGTTCGGATCCTGGATGTGGACCTACACACTGCTTGGCAAGCCATGCTGTGGCAGGCGTCCCACATATGAAGTAGAGCAAGATCAGCACAGATGTTAGCTTAGGGCTAGTCTTCCTCAGCAAAAAAAAAAAAAAAAAGAGGAGGATTGGTGGCAGATGTTAGCTCAGAGCTAATCTTCCAAAAAAAAAGAGTTCACTCTGGGTGGGGGGTGGTGGGATGGTGGAGGGTATGGGGGATGTTGTCCTGTTTCTTTTGCTGTGATTTCCAGATTTTCTAGAATGTGTGAGAAATCTTTATAACCAGAAAAATCAAGTTATATTCTAAAGGAGAGAGGTCGAAGGTGCCCTGAGAACAGCTAGCTCTCCATTTGTTCAATTCTGGGGGCCCCGCTGGGGGTGGCTTCCAGAGGGACCAGCTGTGGGGTCTCCCCTGTAGGAGTTGCCGGGTACCGAGCACATCCCCCAGAGCAGGGGCACCTGCGGCAGACAGCTTGTTTCTCTCATTCTCGGAAACTGGGTCAGTGAGCGTCCAGGCCTTGAGAATTCCATGCAAACCTCTGACCGCTTTCCTCTGGCACCTGCCCGGCCTTCGCTCCTCTTCCCCCACGCACCGCATGTTCCAGCCTCAGGGCCGTTGCTGTTCTCTGTACACGGCCCTTGCCTTCCCACCTCCGGCCTTTGCTGAGCCGAGCTCTCCACCTGGAAAGCTAACCCGGTCCACCCTGGGTGCTGCCATGTGCCTGGGAAGCCATTTCCGCCCCTCCTAACGAGAGGTGGCCCCACGGCTGTTGGCTTCGCCTCCATCCCCGGTGCCCAGTGGATGGGCATCACTGTCCACTGCCTTCCTCATTGGTTCCCACCCCGAAGCCCTTTCTGGCAGTCTCCCGACAACGCGGGTCAAGTTCTGCCTTGTGGCCATGGTATTTGTAAGCACAGCTCAGCCCTGATCTTGGGTGGGGCCCATTCTGTGTCTCTCCACAGCCCGTGACTCTGTACCTGGTACAGAGCACTCATTCATTCATTCATTTGTTCAGCAGTTATTCACCAAGAGCCTACTGTGTGCCAGGGGCCGTGCTAGATGCCAGGGGCACAGAGCTGCTGACGTCAGGGTGTGACCGTTTCTGTGTTTTCCTGTGTACATGTTGTGCACACCACTTGCGTGTGCACACAGCATGAACTTCTCCGTCATATATGAATGTGTGTCCCTCAGTCTGTGCCCGAGTGTAGTCTGGCCGATACCTCAGGTATGCCTGGGTAATTCATTCAGCAAGCATGTACAGAGCGCCCACCAACGTGCCAGGCCTTGACCCTGGAGATAAGTGACCCAAGGTTTCTGACCCGGGGAAGTGCCGGTCTCGTGGAGCCATTGCAGTGCAGACTGGTGAGGGCAGGGCCAGCAGGGGTGCGGTGGTCAGAGCAGCATCCAGGAGAGACGCAGGGACGGGGTGCCCTGCGGCCCTGGAGCCCAGCCTGGGAACGCCGGCCAGCCCTCCCTGCTGGCTTCGCTGCTCTGAAGCACCCGAAGGCCGATGCAGCTGGAGCTGGAGTGGCGGCTGCGAGCCCCGCGCTGGGGGCCGGGAGGAGTCCAGTGCCTGAGGGGAGGCGCGGTGGCCGGAGAACACAGCACTTGGAGCCCGTGGGCAGGCGGGAGAACCGGGGCTGCAGACCCTCTGTGAGAGGAGAACTTGGGACCACACGCCAGAACCCCGCACCTCGAAAGTAGAACCCCTCCTTTAGATCAGAGAAGCTGGAATGTGAGACTCAGAGGAAGGGCACAGAGCAGCAGACCTAGAAGTTGGGCCTTCTGGAATGTGCGACATTGATGTCCGCCAAGCTGGAAGATCAAGTCTGTGCCCCCATGGTCAGGGGGGAAACTGAGGCCCAGGGGTGGGGAGGTCTTGAGGCTTGGTGAGCAGCAGTGGGTGTGCACGCGGTCCCTGCTGAGCCAGGCCCTCCACACAGCCTGCTGGGGCCGGTCGTGTCCCCTCTCCGAGCCTGGGTTTCCTCATCTGAAGTGGGTTGTGAGCGTGGGGTGAGATGGAGCACCTCACTTGGGAAGGGGGCGCTGATCTTGGTGCAGCCTCCGCGCCTCCCCAGGTCCCTCCGAGGACCCTGTGGGTGGGTGTTAGCAGCCTGCCCTTTTGTGCCTCTGCACACAGGCCTGCAGAGGGTAGGGCTCTGGCCTGGGGTCCCAGGGCTGTGGGTGGCCAGAGTTCAAGCCCAGTCCTTTACTCAGCAGCGGCTTGTGGAGCACCTGCTGCATGCCAGGCGTGGTGCTGGGCACTGAGCACACAGCGACGAGCTGCGGGGGAGGACCCTGGTCCTTTTCTCCTGCCCGTATCTCCTCCCAGCCAGCGGCCCCATGTTGCTCAGAGTCCTCACTTCCTGTGTCTCTGTCCCCACCACTGCCATCCCAGTGGAAAGGAGCTTTAGAGTTCCTGTAGACAGGCACCTCGCTGGGGTATGCGGAGCCTGCGTGGTACAGCAGGCAGGACTAGGCAAGCCCAGGCAAGCCTGAGAGCCTGGTAGCCTTGCCTGAAGGGTGCAGGTGTGTGCATTTGGGGGAAGGCCCTTTATTCATTCAACAAACAGTTAACACCTCCTTTGTGTCAGCCTCTGTGCTGGGGCCGGGGACCCAGAGGAGTAGGGCAGCAGAGCGCTGTGCAGATGAGGGCACTGGGAGCAGGCCAGGGTGGAGGCAGCTGGGTCTTTCCACAGCTTGGGGTCAGGGAAGCTCGAGGAAGAAGTGCCTTTCAGCTGAGGCCTCTGGGGACGGGCCTGGGCCTGGCGAGTAAGATGACACGGAAAATTCCAGGCTCCTGGAGGATTTGGACTTTATCCTGAGGGCAGTGGTTCCATGCTGGGAGGGGCAGCGTCAGATGTGGCTTTTGCTTGGCTCCTTGGGACCAGGCTGGGAGCCCCTCGGGGAGGCCTCTGCTGGTGTCCAGGTGAGCGCCGATGGTGGAGCAGCGGGCACGGGACGGGCACAGCGAGAGGGGTGGGACGAGAAGTATCCGGGCACAGATGGGGTGTGGTCATAGGTGCGCACGCTCCGGGAGAGGGAGCATTTAGGGTGGCTTCAGCTTCCTGGTCATATCTCTGACAGGGCCCAGAAGGAGGAGCGTTGGGAGTGCCCAGGGTTGTCCGAGCGTCCCTGGGTGCCAGGCTCAGGTCACAGGTATCCACTCAGGTTGTCGCTACAACTGTTTGAGCAGGTTCTCTGCACCATGTTTTGCAGCGGGGGGTCCCAGGCTGGGTGGGCACCACTCCCTGCAGCCTGGCCCGATCCCGCTGGATCCGCTCCTCTCCCTCCCTTACCCCAGCTGGCACTCCAGCCGCTCAGGTGCACAGGGGTACCCCCACCTGCCGCCCTTTCAGAGGGGGAGATGCCGTAGGATCGCCTCCACTCCTACTGCCGAGGTGCATGAGGACTGACTACCCCTGCCCTGTGCCTAGATGCACCCCTTCACCCTGTGCACAGGTGTGCCCCCCACCTTGTGTGTGGGTGTGCCCCCCACGCATGGGCACCTCGCCCCCCAGGTGCAATGCATGGAACCAAGCCTCTCCAGCCATAGCTTGCTGCTGTTGCCCGCCGAGCCCTGTGCTAGAGAAGGCCCCAAGAGGACAGGGGAGGGGTGGGGCGCCCTTCCCCCCACCCTCAGGCCTTCTGGGCTGGAGATGGAGCTGAGGCTCAGCACTGAAGTGGCCCTTTGTACATTGTCCCTGGAGGATGGACGAGCCTGGCGGGAGGGGCTGGCACGGCTGGGGCTGCCTGGGCAGCACGCGCTGCTCTCAGCAGGGCTGTGGCAGCGGGCAGCTTTCTCTGGGCCGCCGCCGGAGCAGGGAGAGTATCCTGCTAGGTGTGGCTGTGCACTGGCCGGCCCTGCTGCCCCCGCCTGCCAAGCCAGACGATCCTTGTCACTCAGAGTCCGTCATCACTTCTCCTAAGTGTTCCGTCACCATGTCACAGCTGTTTATGGAGCGCCTGCTCCGGGCCTAGCTTTGTCCTGGGGGGTGGGGAGCAGCTGTGACCCGTGACCAAGGCCCACGGCACCCCTGCTCTCCTACTGTTGACGTTCTGAGCGAGCAGAGTGTGGGTGTGGGAGACAGACCACTAACACACAAACAAGCAGACAGACAACTTCCGCCGCGAGGAGGGCTGTGGAGCAGAGGACCTGGGAGGGGTTGGCCGTGTCAGCTGGCTGGTCAGGAAGGCCCCTCTGAGCAGGCAGCGGCGTGTGGAGGTCTGAGGGAAGGGCATACCCGGCAGAGGGAACAGCCAGTGCGAGGGCCCTGAGATAGGCAAGCCTGGGGTGTGGGACAGATGGAAAGGCTGGGACTGTGGGTGGAGCCAAGTGGACGAGGGAGGTGAGGTCAGCGAAGACGCAGGGACCCGCTTGGCAGTCCGTGTGGGCGGGGAGGAGTTTGGGTCTCATCCTGGGTGTGACAGGGCCAGAGGGTCCTGTAGGGAGTTGAGCAGGGGGATGGGGCCTGATGGGACTTTACAGTGACAGAATTTGTGAGGCCCAGTGCCCAGTGAAAACTCAGGGGCCATGGTTCAAAAATGTAAAATTTCAAGACAGATTTTTTTTTTTTTGAGGAAGATTAGCCCTGAGCTAACATCTGCCACCAATCCTCCTCTTTTTGCTGAGGAAGACTGGCCCTGAGCTAACATCCATGCCCATCTTCCTCTACTTTATATGTGGGATGCCCACCACAGCATGGTGTGCCAAGCGGTGCCATGTCTGCACCCGGGATCCGAACTGGCGAACCCCGGGCCACCGAAGCAGAACGTGCGAACTTAACCGCTGTACCACTGGGCCGGCCCCAAGACAGAATTTTTTAAAAAAGAGACGGGAAGGGAGGCCAGTGGGGATGAAGAGTGGGGTCGGGTCCTGGGAGGGTTTTGGAGGAAGGCACCCCAGCAGGCATGTGGCCAGGCTGTGGGGCACGTGCACCTCAGCGCGGAGCCCTGAGGGGCTGGGATGGTCCCATGTGGCAGATGTGGACTCTGAGGCCCAGGATCACACGGTGGGTCGAGGAGGGGCAGGACAGGATTTGAATCCGGCTCCCTTTGAGTCAAGATTCCACGGAGCTGCCGCCCCACCGCAGCGCTGGTCGCCCTCCTTCCCGATACGGAGCTGGGGGCATCAGGCACAGAAGTGAGCTTCCTCTTGTAGAGGCAGAGGGCACTCAGCCTCGGCCTCACTGGCCTTGCCTTTCCTCACAAGGAGCCCAGGAGGTGTGGGTGTTCTCATTGCCCTTCCGCAGATGTGGAAACTGAGGCAGGGCAGAGCTGATCTGGGCCCTGGCCCCCTGGACTTGTCTGCTCTCACTGCCTTCTCTTCTCCGAAGGGAGCAGGGCAAGTGATTTGGGTCTGGGAGGGCCACTGGGTGGGGGCGGGCAGGAAGCTGCAAGCCCAGCGCACAGGGGTCTCCGGGGGATTTATTCCCCGTGGGCCTTGGTGGGTTCCGTAGGGACATGAGCGAGAAGCCTGCCTGGGGCTGGCTCGGTCAACACGTGTCCAGGGACTGGCAGCGCGTTCCTGTTTGTGAATGGGAAGAAGCTGAGTTCTTCTCCTTCCTCTCATCGGAACTCTGTTAATAATTAATAATCTGTCCAATTAGTCATTACAGGCTTCGCCGCCCTCCCGCTGCCTTGCCCCACCCTGGCTGGACCCTGGCCTCTCCTCTCTTCTTCCTTCTCCCTCCTGGCACCTGCACCTGCCCTGCCCCTCCCCGCCTGCCTCTCCCTGCAGAGGACGGCCTTGTGCCCTGGGAAGTCCTGCCACCGGGCATCCTCTCAACTGTCCTCTCACTCGCACCTTCGGCAGCCCTACCAGGTGGGGGTTACCCCGTCTGACAGATGGGGACACTGAGGCACACAGTGCGGTGGGACCTGCCCCGGGGTGTGCCGCTCATGTGCTCGCTGGATGTTTGCTGCAGTGATGTTCAGGGCGTGTCTGAGCAGGACTGGCGCTCGCAGCCCACAGGGCAAGCAGACAGGCCGACAGGACATCTCTCTCCAGCTGCTGGGGGCTCCTGAGCAGGCTGGGGTGAGGGCCGCCCCCAGGGGAGGGAAGGGCCAAGGTGGGGTGTGAAGGAGGGGGAAGGATTCCCTGGGGTGGGACAGCACGTTTAAAGGCCCTTAGGGGGCCGGCCGGGTCGCGTAGTAAGTTCGTGAGCTCAGCTTTGGTGGCCCCGGGTTTGCAGGCTCGGGTGCTGGGGGGCAGACCCAGCACCGCTCATTAACCGCGCTGTGGTAACATCCCATATGCAAAATAGAGGAAGATGAGCACAGACATTAGCTCAGGGCCAATCTTCCTCACAAAAAAAATAAAAGATAAAGGCCCCTAATGCATTCTGTCCGTCCCTCGTCACCCATTGTCGTCACCTCCCCCCCCCCCCGCCCCCTGCCCGCAGCGTGAAAGCTCCGGCTCCCACCCCCGTCCTCTCCCGGGGTCTTCACCTCCTAGGAGGAGCCTGGAGAGGCTCTGTGTCCGCACAGGGAATGGACGCCTTGCCAATGGTGGCCTTGGGCATGGAGCCAGGCAGTAGAATAGCTGTTTGAGGGTCTCCTCTGGGTCCCCCAGCTTCTCATCCATGGCCGGCTACTCAGAGTCCAGCCCCTGTTCCCACTCCCAGAGAGACCTTTACCTCACCTGCTCCCCTCTCCAGGGCTGCTGAGCGCTGGGCAGACTTATGGGTGGATGGCACTGGTTCTCTGAATTCAGACCTGGGCTCCCCGGCCCCCGCCCACCTTTGAGACCCTGGGTCCCACTGACAGAGAGAGTGTACATCCGGGCCCTTCCTTGTGTACCGTGCTCCTCCGTTTCCCGTCCCTGTCCCACTGCACATGTCCAGCAGCCCCTTGGAGGTCAGGGCAGAGTTCACAGTGACCTTCTGTCCAGAGAGGGAGCAGGGCGAGGCCCCAGGGGAAGCTGGGCACGTGGTTTACGGAGCATGGGCACTGACGGCCCCTGGCCTGTGAGATGGAAGTCGTAGGTGCTCCCACCTCCAGGCACCTGGCACCGAGGGTGGCTCCAGCAGGATGGGGCCACCCTACCGCTGCCTGGTTACCCATCTGTACCTTGAGCAAACGAGGAGACTGAGGCCAGAAAGACAGGCGACCCAACTGGGAAGAGGTGGAGCCGGGAAGGCAGCCCAGGTGAAGGGCAGAGCTGGCACCAGGCCAGGCCCAGGTCGGCCTCCCACATAGCCACCTAACTGCCACCTGGCTTGGCTGGGGGGGCGGGGACAGCCTTCGGCGGGAAACAGCTGCCTTCAAGCCATAAAGGCCAGGCACGTCAGGGAGCACGCCGCAGGAGCTGGGCGGGACACTGTGGCTCACCTGTGGCCAGCCAGCTTGGGGCCCAAGGCAGGTACTGGGGCAGGTGAGGGGAGGGTGGGCCTGGAGGGGCCCAGGTGGAGACGGAGGCCCCCACACTGCTGCCACTTCCAGGGCGAGCGGGGCTGGTCACTCGGGCCCCTGCACCCGTTCCCTCATCTGTACTAGCGATGGGGGCCGTGTGAGGATAGAATTAGAGAAGGCGGCTAGAGCACGTCGAGTCCCCTCCGGGCGGGCGACCTGGGACAGGCCTCAGACGCGCCCCCTGTGTGGTCACAGGCCAATGAGGGGCAGCTGTGGGCGCAGGGGCTTGGGCGTCCCCAGGCCACCTGACCAGAGTCAGGCAAACAGAAACACCTAGGGTGGTGAATGCAGGCCGTGTGGGACCTCCCCTCCCTCGGCTCTGATTCCAGGCCTGCAGGCCATTGGGTCAAATAATGGGAGGAGGGGGTGGACATGGAGGAGGAGGAGGGGGTGGCTGAGGACGGCAGTGCACAGGGGCAGGGGTGCAGCCCTGGGCAAGAGCCAGGTTCCCTGAGGGCCTTTGGGCCCCCGGAGCCTCCAGAGGCTTCCCGACGTTTTAGAGCACCAGACCCCTTT